AATGAGCTTCAGCGAAGCCGGATAATTTATGCGTTATCGTGGTTAGAAAATCGTAACTGTTGTGAAACCCTGAATAATACACTTGAACGAATATGTGTATTTTTTTGAAGTCATCAACACGTACGATAGAAATGTTGTCACAACGTTTTAAAAAACTAAAAAGTCGCGTTTACCGCGAGCAGTATATTATATATTATTTAGCGGATACATCCGAAGGAATCAGTAGTGGAGTGAAAACTGATAGGTTTTACGTACAGCATATGTAATTAATAATATTATTGTACAATTGGCTAACAATGCAACTGAAACTTGATTTTCATTTGCCGAATATTTTCCACGCTCGGCTTAGAGCCGGATATAGCGTAGTCTAGCGACTCATTAATATGATGTATGAGCGTAGTCATACATCATATTAAAGAGCTTAACAATTTTATACAATATTAATCAAATAATTAAAACGATGTCATGGCATGCCATAGCGGTTGAATCTTCTTTTTGAATTTTTGCAGTCCTGCAGAGTCGAATGTTTGAAGTTATGACAGTTAGGTTACAAATTGTTTTACTTCTTTCACAATAAGCTATTAAAAGTTTACTAAACATTGACATCGATTCGATTTTAAGGGGGGGGAAGTTATCTCCAAACTCATCCCAAGTTCAATCATCTTCAAGCCTAAAACTCATTGAATCGCTTTGTTCTGTACGAATAGAATTAATGTATTGCGTACAATCGTTAACTTCAACACTAAAACGATGTTTAATATTTTTTTCTTCCTCGGTTTTATTACAGACTAATGAAAAAAATCGAGAAATGGTTTGATTTTATAAATTATCGATACCGGTCCATTTATCTTGATAGTATTTTAATTGTACGTATAACTGAATACTAATAATATAAGTAATAATAATAATATACTAATAATCAGTGGCGTCGAACTACAAAAAAATGCAGTATGGCGAATATCAAATTTTAATAGTACCTACCCACTTACCAATTGGTGTAAACGGTGGGAGGGGGGCTGAAACCCTACCATAATATTGTATTCAAAATTAATATTTATATATATATATATATATATATATATATATAAATTTATATATCTATTTTCATATTGTGACTTATCAATAATTTATGATATAGCCGATATAGATGTTCACTCTATATATTAAATAATATTTATTTTCACCACATCGCACTATCGTTATCGTATTATCTGTGTTAATATTACGGTCTTCTGGCTTGTATCGACGTAATCAACGTACCACAACTGATGTCCTTGTATGCAATAATGTTAAATATTAAATAGCTTTAATACTTTCATAGTACATTTTGCATATTGGGCTGTGGGTACCACGCTATGTGTCACCTACCGAGCACTCAGTACCCACATAGCACATAATTCACTATGGCAGTCGCCATACTTGGACATAGGGATCGGCGCCACTGCTAATAATATTAGTACATTGTATAATACAATCGATCGGTGTTTTATATTTGTCGTACGATAATATTACAATAAGTCAGTGATTTCCTGACATGAACGTTGCCTCTTTTCTTGTATGCGTTTTTAATTTTTAAAGAAAGCTAAAGAGGACTATTCATTGGTCTCTTACATTAGTATTATAAGATTTGTTCTGACTCAAATAAGAAACTATGTACAATACTCTCAAAATTTCATAGAAATGGAGGTATAAAATAACGGCTTTTGTGCAAACTATAACAATTATTCTTACAAAATCAACACGTTGATTAGAAATTTGTGAAAGGGAATATTTAAGACTAATGAAGAGATCTATTGAGCCAGTAATTATTTCATTAGTAGGACATCATCAACTTCAATGGAGTTATCGGTCAAGTAAGTATTTTTTCTAAAATTATTTTTAACGTATTCGAAGTTAAATTTTTATAATTTATATTTTCCGTATATATTTACACTAATGAGTATAAATGTTTATACGAGTAGTAAAATTTTTTTTTTAAATTATTAAAAAATTAAGCTATCAGTTTTAAAAATAAAAAAGGTTGAGGAGAGGTTGGTAGGAGATTTTCTTAAATCTGAAAAGAACGTTGAATAGAAAAAGGTTGGAAAACACCACTGAATAAGTATAGAGAATCAAGATAATATTGTAGATTATTATAATTATGTGAGCAACCAATTATTAGTATGTGAGCAACCAATTATTCGTTTAATAACATTGCATGTCGAGTTGACCCTGTTCGGAACAATACGGCATTATTATAATGTTACTATTGTACCGGAGCTTAGTTTACCTCATTCATAATAATGTTTTTAATTTCAGCGATCTGATTTGTTTGCTCGTAAAAAAATCTCTTTCCATTAAATATTTCACATATAGCACAGGTTTCGTTGAAATTCAATAATAATAATACCGAGCCCAATACGGCTATTTCACAGATTATTCCGCATTAGTTCTACGAAAATTTGTGTGACGCCTGCAAAAATTCATTGTGTACGAGTACAATAATATTATACTATAATGTTGGTTAAAATATAATACTGTTCGCGGTACCGCGATACGAAAGAAAATGTATAATTCATTTTTCAACGACAATGAATCACTATAATATATATTAACGATTTCGTTTTCGAGAAAAATTATTCATTTTTCAATTTTACCATCAAAATGCAGCCGCCGAAAAACGCGTAGCCTGAACAGTTGTATTGTCCTGCACGTTCATGTTTACGTATAATTTGGAAGAAAAAATGTTATCAGATCGTAACATGAATGCGTTGCACAAATAGAATATTCATACCGTTTTTCTCCTGTTATCTGGCAGTAATATTATGATGACTGCAGTTTCTTTTTCGTTTAATTTTATATCTACAAACTCAATAATGCTAATAAGTGCCTTATGAAATTACGACTTAACGATAGTAAATATAATAAAGTAACAAATGGAAAATTAGAGAGGCGTTTTTTTTTTTTTAACATGTATATATATATATTTATTTTTAATTCTTAACAACCACAGCTCTTACAATCTAGCAGTTTTACCGAGGCTTTTGCAGTTGGAAGTAGAGTTGTTGAGTGCATGGTTAGGATTTTTGAACTTTTGGACGTAAATCTTAGAATTAGAATTATGTTTAACATAAATCAATCGATGTTGAATAAATGATCATAGTTAAAACGAAGTTATATTTATAACTTTTCCTAACACGTGTAAGGGTATTATCATGGAGCGGAGAGGGGTTATATAGGTAATATGGATCCCTTTATAGCTTCTTTTTTCTAATAGATTTTATTTTCTTGGTTATTCGATATTTAGTAATAATCAAGGTTCATAATTTCTAGCATTTGCATTTATTTTCGTTACAGGTCCTAAAGATACTTATGTGAATCATAAATTAGTTTCAGGAATCTTAAAAGGTAAATACAAAATTTTATGTTGCATATTTTCGCATATTTTGAAACTTGAGAGCTATTTTATCTTTTTTCGTGTACCCCATAGGCGGATATCGGGGAAAACTTGGGGGGCTTAAGCTCCCCAGAAAGTAAACGTCAAAATAAAAAATTATGTGTTTCAATATTTGATATTTATAATTTTTATTTTATTTTGTTGAGATACGAGAATGGTCTGGAATATTCATGGCTTATCGTTGTTGGGAAAATCATATTTTATAGGTATTTATTGGTAATCGCGAATATTCTAGAACTTGTTTGCGATACATGTAAAGTTATAAATACACAAGCTGCAGACAGCCATTGCATTAGTGTCGATTACGTTTTTGGAGCGTTTACGGTGATCGCCTTTATTTTTATTTTTAATACCCACGCGTAGTTTTCCGTAAGTGATGTGCTAAACAAATAAACAACATAATTTTATATTATTTGTGTAAATTGTGTATTTATCTGAATTAATTAATTAATTTTGAATTATAAATTGTAATTAATTCAAAAGTGGCTAAAAGAATGTTAGATGTCTTTAATATTAAAAAACAAAAATTATTTGTTACTAATTCCTCGTCAACAACAGCACTAGAATCTGAAAATAAAGATTTAAATATTGGTTTAGACATTAATATAACTACACAAAAAGTATTGAAAATATTATAGATAAAAATGTCATTTCCGACTTGGGAACTTTAATAACAGGCCCTGTGCGACCAATTTTAACCGTAAATTCAAATGTAGGTAAACACTCAACATAGTTTGAGTTATTATATTATGTTTAAATTAAATACATTGCAGTCATATCCACTAACGAAATTTAGTACACAAATTCGGGCTTTCAATAATTATCACTATAAAACATATGAATAGCTTGAATATAGTATATCAAAAGATTCAATTTTTTGCTTTGCTTATAGAAATTTTAGTACTGGAATTAGTGGAAATTTTGAAGATAGGTTTTGAGTAGGTTTTAGAAATTGGAAAAAAGTATGTACTTTGTATTTATGCTTTATTTATGATTTTTTTAATTATAATTATAATTATTTGTATAAGTATATTATAATTTTTAGTTGAGTGTTTGTTGGGAATAAAAGTAAACTCAAAAAAATTGGAAGCACATGGTAAAAGTAATTTACATCTTACATGTATGATTAAATATTCAGCAGATCAGAAAACAAAAGAAACTGGTAGTGTTTATTCTCAAATATCTTCTCAGCATTCATTTATGGTTGAAACTAATAAAAAATATATGAAAATGTTAGTTGATATTGTTTTATTTGTAAGTTGTCAAAGAATTGGTTTTAAGGGATACGACGAGACAAAAGATTCTTTAAATCAAGGTATAAAACTAACAACTAAAAAGTAATAACTAATAACAAGGAAGCGGATGTTTATGCTTCAAAAAATTTAAAATTATGCATGCAATTATGCTCTAAAAAGTATAAAAATATGTTTAGAATTTATAAATATATGCATCAAAAAATTTTTTATTTACAACTTATTTTGTTTATTAAAAATTTAAAATATATAGGTATAAAATAATTATTCTTAAAATTAAAACTTTAAAAAGAACTGTTGGTACGTAAATACGTAAATAGGTATAAAACTTTATAAAATATAGAAACACTTTGCATGAAAACTAAACTAGAACACAACTGAAATGCAACACGAGTACACAACACAACGAAAAGTAGATCAAAACTTCAAGATGAACTTATAAATAATATAAATATGTGCAGATGTTTTGAAAGAAATAATGGTGAAAGATATTGAAGAAGTTGAGGTGTTTGAAATTATGTGATGAAGCAAGGTGAAATATAAAATATGTTTTATACATGGACTTCTTAATTTATTTTTATTAAATTAATATATAGGTGTTATAAACAAGAACAAATGGCATTATGTGTAAGGTATGTTAAAATCTAGATGTTGTTGAGAGATTTCTCGATTTTATAGATTGTTCTAAGAATCAAGATGCTGAAAGTTTATATCATTACATATTTTGATACCTGAAAAAGTGTAAACTTTGCCACAAATAGTTGCTCAATCATATGATGGTGAAAAGGTTATGCCTGGGATATTTAATGGACTACAAAATAAAATAAAAAAAAATCAATATCCTTACGATATTTATGCCCACTGTATGGCTCATAAAATGAACCTCATTTTAATTGATATGTGTAAATACGTAAAGGCAATGAATATTTATACACATCTTAGATCTTCATGATTTTATTTATTACTTATATTAATATTAGGAAACAAGGCATGTGTAATTGAGATTTAACTTAGATTCAAACTAAACTATTAATAAAACATTCGATAATGACTAGACTTATTGACACTAGATGGAATTGCCGTTATCGAAATATAGAGTCCGTTAAAAATAGTTATAAAGCAATTATTCAAGCTTTAGAACAAAAAATTGAAAATGAATATGATAGAGGAGTAAATGAAGCAAATGGTATAATATAATAAGTAATAATTAATAATTCAAAGTATTTAAATTTCAATATCTTTTTTTTAGGTATGTTAACAAATTTAAAAAGTGGACGATTTATAGTTTATTTATTTATCTTACATTAAGTATTAATTAATATTAATATTGTTTCTAACAAATTTCAAGAAAAAAATGTAACCTTAGGGGTCTAAAAATATTATTGAAGGTGTTATGATGACTTTTAAAAATTCTAGAACAACGGAGTATTTCTCTAAGCTTTGGTGTGAAATAGAAATCTTTGCTGAAGATAATGAAATATCAATACAAACGCCATCTAAAGGTAAGACTTAATAAACATATTATATTTATTTATTATTATAATAATTTTAAGTTAATATTTACTTAACTAGGATGTAAAAGAAAAATACAATAGCCACACAATCTTCAACATTTTGATACTATTGCAACCACAAGTGCTGAACAAAATATTAATGACACCATTGAAACTATTGAAGATTATTTTAGAAAAAATGTTTCCTTTCCTGTATTTAATGCTATCTTGATAAATCTGGAGAAAATATTTTCTATTGAAAGCCTCCAAATGGCTACAGCTGTTGATCAATTTTTTCAATTAAACTTGGAGGAAAGTCTTTTCTTTGTAGATCATTATAAAGTAAGTATCGTATCGGTTTTTGAAAATTCATTTTTACTTACCTATGCTCTAGTTTTCTAGTTTTATTAAAAGTAAACTTGTATTTTGTATGTTTTTTCAGGATTTGATGAATGTATCTAAAGATGTATTACAATCAGAAATAGAAGTGAAAAATAATTGTATATTGTAATCTACCGATGAAAATTATAAAACTTTAAATGATGTGAAAAAGGTTTTAACAAAACAGACTTTCCCTAATTTATAAAAACTATTTCAAGTTACTTTAACAATTCCTATAAGTTCCTCCACTCGTGAAAGGAGTTTTTCGGCCATGCGTAGAATAAAAACTTGGCTTAGAACTTCTATGCTGTAGGAAAGGTTCAACAACACCTCAATATTATATATTGAAAAATAAATTTCTAAATCTATTAATACTGAAACAATTGTTAATATATTAGCACAAAAAAATAGATGTATACAATTAAGATAAAAATAATTTAGTAGCTATTCAATATTTTATTTTTTTATGTTCCTATTACCTATATATATATTTGGTGCCTCTGCTAAAATCAAGTAGGAGTAGCCACTACAGTTATTAGGTTGAAAGGTCGGAAGCGACTAAAAATATTTGTTTCGCTAATGAATAAGACAAAAATGTTAAGCCCCCCCCACAGATGAAACCAAATATCCGCCCATGATGTACCCTTACGTTCTTTTTTTAATAAAAAGAAGGATTTAATCTTATCTTGAATATCATGAAAATACCGATTTTGAGGGTAGATTTATTGCTAATATAATTGTTGAAGAAAATTTTCCGAACAAGCAATATTTGGTATATTATTATTACATATTTAAAAAACATTTTATTATCCATGCAATCTAAAATGTTGAAAAAAAAATATATTATTCATTTTTATTCAACACTATTAATACAAATAATATATAAAATACTTAAAAAATACTGAATAAAAGTTTAAGATACAGTATGTGACTTAAAAAAACGAAATTACCGACGCGACGTAAACATACTCGTATTAATAAAGCGGTTCTCAACCTTTTTTTTCTTCCGTACCCTGAGTCATAATATTTGTTAGATAGTACCCGTCACTGTAATGAAAAGTTATATTTTTAACCTTTTTTCACAAAACTTCTCCAAAAATGTTAAAAAACAATAATATATTATAATGTAATAATGTATATGCTTTTATATTTTTTACTAAGACACATAAAAAAGAATTTAACCATTCGTTTTTTATTTGATGAATGAAAAAAAAATGTAATATAAAAGTTTAGTGGGTTCCTTGGCATTATTTCCAATTATATAGTTTTTTAATATTAGGGTTTAAATCTTAAATCCGGAGCTGCGTCCAGCTCATTACTTTACTTATTGTTTTATGCGTACATATAGTGTTTTGTTATTTATGTTAAATAGGTACTCCGTTTGCACAGAATTCTCATTTGGATATGGTAATTGTTGTACTTTCGTAACGCGATCGGCCTATTCCGCGTTTCATCGGGTGACTTAGTTACTTTCACTTGTAATAATAAAACAAAAAACGGGGCGCGGTTGACAGTTTTCTTTACGGGGGGGGGGGGCAGTCAACATTCACTTGTCGAATCGGTTGCTTCATTACCTAAGTGCCGATTAACGTGGGGGAGGGGGGAGATGGAATGTCTAACCAGTCAAAATATATAATTAGTGATTTGTACTATGTAAAAAAGTTCCTGTGTAGTTAATTTCTCATTTTTTTTGATTTACAACACATTTATTTAGATGATACGCTGACTTTGGAATAGATATAACTCTAGACTGTGATAAATCTTTAAATTTCCTCCCTCAAATAACGCCACTGAATTATATGTATACTTATAAGATCATACTATTGCGGTTATGACCACTTTAGAGTTACAAGCTATGAGCTCTGGTAATAATAAAATCTATTAATATTATCAATAAATATTTTTTGACTTATTTTGCTTTTCACACATTGTATATAATATGTTGTAATTTATTGTATGTTGTTCTATATAAGAAAGGGGGGCATGGGAGCAGGTCCGGATTAACACTATCGTAGGCTCTAGGCCCCTAGTTTTTTGCAGGGCTGTTGTTCAGTATTTAAATGGTTAAGAAACCTTCTCTTTGGGGGAGGAAGTTTAGAATCTCATGCAGTCGGTGCTTTGAAAAGCAATAATATTTACAACATAAAAATCAAAATTAAACTTTTATATGATAACACTATAAATTTTTATATGATAAAAGTTTTGACAAATGTTGAAAAAATTTATTTTAATTCAAAACATATATATATATATATATATATAATATAAATTGTCAAAAACCAAAAAAAAAAAAAATTGTCTCATATCAATTTACATACAGTGGTTACCGCTTAATGTAATCACGGTTAATGTTATCAGTCGTTTATTGTTATCGAAAAGTATAAGTACGGGCCGGATGTATACTTATTTGTGTAAATTATGACGGCTATTGTAATCAATACGCCACATTATATTATCAGTTTGAGGTCATAAAATCATAATTTTGTAACATACAATCAAAGTTTTCGTCGAATGTCTCGAATATAAATGTCTATACTGTTATTTATTTACCGTTTATCTACCTTTCGTTTGTATAGCATTAAAACAGTACCGTCGCTGTCTGTCGACTAGTATCGCGTTTGTATGCATCGTGTCGCGTGTGAGTAAAAATAAGTGAAAAACGAAAAAGAAATGACCTAACAATTTATGAAAAAATTTTAATACTACAACGTTACAACAATTTACCAAAAATGGGACAACGAGAAGCAGCTATAAAACTACAAATTTCGGAACCATTATTGTGTAAATTATTAAAAAAAACGAATTGAAATAGAAAATGCAGCAACATTTAATAAAAATCCAAACATAAAGAGTATACGCAGTAGGAAAGAAGAACAGGTTGAATCAGCATTATTATTATGGTATATTAATAATAGAAAAAATTATGCATGCATTAATGGTTCAATATTGCTTCAAAAAGCTGTAGAACTTGCAAAAAAATGGGTATAGAAAATTTTATTGCCTCAGAAGGATAGTTTCATCAATAAAATAATTATATTTTAAATAACTATGTATTATGATTATAAAATTTGATGTAACACTACATTATTTATTTTTTTTATTTAACGTAGGTTTTATTATTATTTATAACTTTCGTTTAATGTTATCAATCGGATTATGTTATCAGTTATGTCCCGTACCAAAGTGATTACATTAAGCGGCGATCACTGTACTACAAAAAAATCGTAGTCACACATTTTCGTAGACCATAGGCACAGTACCTATGGTGCCTATATGCTAATACGGCCCTGTGTGGGTACTTTACATACTCGGCTTATATATTTATACATTTATACATTTTATACATTTTCATATATCCTCCTCCTTAACCATTAAAACATCCTGAGAATGACTGTGAATATGTGACATTGTAGTGTTATCGCTCGAACAATATGCATGCGTGCCCGTCTATAAGTAATGATTAATTACTGTAATAAGTACTATGTCAGCTTGGTGGTGACGTGAAGAAAAAAAACCGAAAATAAGAGCGCGTTGTAAACAGGAAGACAAGCGAGTGTATATTAATTTAATTTGTATAAGCATTGCAATATTAACAATCAAAGAAATATTGATAACGATTGTTAAGTAAACGTTGAACGTCATGCTACCACGGGGGTCAGTGGGTTATCAGGAGATGTAATTTGTAAGGCGATAGCCCGTCATGAGTTCAAAAACCGTCATACATTTGTGCACAAAATTTCAAATATTCAGAGCTCTCGAATTTAAGTAATCGATTTTGTTTTTTTCATTTTCAAGTTTGAAATAAGATATAACCGCTTTTTTTTCATGTTCATAGATGTCTTTTTTCTATTTAATCTTCACAATAAAACTATTAGGATTAAACTATTATACGGAAACGTGTTGATGTTATTGAAGATTATAATGTTATAAGTCAAAATTATGTTTTTTTTATTACATATTTCTTGCTTTTCGAAACAAGGAAGCATCAAATTTCAGAAAATTTCGTTCTCAAAGCTAATCTCTTTTGACTTTTTTTTTTATAAGTTTTGGAAACTTCATTTTTAGTGAAAATATAAGCGCTTTCATAGAATGCTTTTGGTTTATTGTGATCTATGACAAACACCACTGTACACAACATGTCTGCATTCCTTTGGCTTTTTAATACCATTTCGATATGGTCATCACGATTTTGATTATTATCGATGTGAGACTTTTATCTTCATAACTGACATCGATATGTTCTAAAAAAAATGCAATCATTTCATATTAGTATAACTTTGATATAATTATAATTATTACTGACGTCGTAAACGAAAAGCAGTCGTAAAAGATTTCTGAATAAAAATGTATAGACTTCGGGAACGGAAAACGTCAAACCTCCTATGAAATTTAGTGAAAAGTTCAAAACTCGATCAATAGATGGCTCTGCATTTATTATATATCCTCCAATACGATTTATATTTAAAAAATGTGTGTCACGAATATTCACGACAATGAGAAGTGGAGCTCTCATTGTTAATGATCTTTAAGTAAATAATTAATTTTGTACATGAAATTAGATCAGAAATATCGAATGCGATCCAAAACCTACAATCAATCGGCTATTAGAATCATTTAATTATTATTTTTATTTTACGAAGAAAAACACAAGTTATTGTTTTTCAGTTATTTTAATGAGTAATGATTACTACATTTATTTATGGTCTATATGAGCATTCCCAATCTACGTGTCGCGATCCAACATTTTGTTGTAAAAATATTTTTGATGGGTCACTGTTCGTAAACTAAAAATTAAATATCTTAGTCATCAAAATATAATTATACGTATTAGAATTCAGTTTTGTAGTATTGCGTTAAAGCATTGATTCCTAACCTTTTTTTGACTCAATGCCTCTTTTAGATTTTCAAAATCACCTCTCCCTTGGAGAGATTAAAAAAATAATTATAGTTCAATTTTAATAATTAACAATAATTAACAATCACTCTTAAATCTACCTTTTTAGATATGTCCAGTCCAGATATTAATTATATACCATTTGATTATTGATACAATTTGGCTGTTATTTAATGATACTGTAGTGTGTATACATATTATGTATACCTGCACAGTTCTTTATAATACTTTTGTTTGGTACATTATTATTTTTGATTGTACGCAGTTACCTAAACATTTTATTGCAATAAGTTATGAACAATAAAAATGATAACCACAGTTGAATTACCCTCTTAAGTAAAATGCAACCTTAAAATAAAAAAAGTTCACAAGGGGGTGGCACCGCTCACGTTAGGAATCGCTGCGTTAAAATATGTGATTAAATTCCTTATATTAATGCATACTGGGTTTTTTTTTTTTTTTTTTTGGAGGGTCATCTACACAACATAAAAGA